ACTAAAAATCAAACGGAAAAATTTGAAGAAAAAAAATTACGAAAATCGTTTTTGTCAGTTAAAAAAAATGTCAAAAAAGCTACCTCAAGCAGTTGTGTCACTTTTACCCCAAATGCACCGAATAAATGATTGACTTTGAATTAACACAGAGGTGAAGCTGAGATTCGCATCACTTGCGATACAAAACAAAAAAAAACAAAGAAAATCGAAAAGGTCGAAAAAATTAGACTATGAAAATGAATAAGGCTACTTGTGAGACAAAAACATGACAAGACAATAGAATGTGTAAAAAGCATCGGAAGATAATACACCCAGCGGTAACAAAGTCGAAAATACCTTGTCTGAAACCCTTGAAGCCGAAAAATCAACAAGACTTCAAACATCTGAAAAGTTAATACGTCCACCTCAACCTCAAAACAATTCAATTGCTCGTCAAAGAAACAATATGAGGACACTTAGCCGATATAGAATAGGCCGAAACCTATTAAGCCCAAAAAAGGAAAATAAAAAAGCCGAAAAAAAACTTTAAAAAAACATTAAGACCAAAAAGATGTTACTTCCTCCTCAGCCTCAAAACACAGACAAGAACACACAAAACTTTTTTTTGCTCGTCGAAAGATGCAATATGAGTTCAATAAGCCTATACAAATTAGTCCGCAACCTATCAAGCCAAAAAAAAAGGAAAAACCAAAAAAAAAGGAAAAATCAAAAAAGCCGGAAAAAATTGTGTTATCATGGAAAACTTAACTATGACTCTAAGACTCTATTAGCGTTTAGTGCTATCCGCATTTAAAATATATGTATGAGTTAAAACGACTCGGAATCAGATCACTAAGCCAATAACAAAAAAGCCGAAATCATTTGGACAGAAAAACAAATTTTAAACGAAAAATATATATTTATATACTAAATTTTTTTAAATTTTACGAAAATTTGACTTAAATTTTACTAAAAATTAAGTGAATTTTAGTAAAATTACAAACAGCAGAGCACTAAACGCAACTATAATGTAGGAAACTTTTTATAAAAATCTACAATATGGCAAATAAGCTGACAAAACATAAGCAGAAAATATTAGGCCGCCAATTTTTTTTGAAACGGACTATCGTCCGTCTATGCAGGAGACAATAAGAAAATTGTATTCGTTACCTCCAAGCTAAGTGTACAGGAGCAATAAAAAATTTAAATTCATTATGAACCAAGTTACCATGAGTCCATTGTACAAAGTTTTTAACGTGAAAAAAGTCTGGTACCTGATTGCAAAACCCTTGCTTATCGCAAGGGTAAAGAAAATTCTAAGTCGACACAATAAGAGAAAAAATAATCAGAAAAGTAAAACTAAGCCGACAAAAATTAACAGACGGGCGATAGTCCGAAAAAGCACAAAACTCTAGTTTGCAAAAAAAGGGCCCAGTCGGATTCGAACCACTAATCTTTACCGTCTCTAAGTCGATATTAATTAGGCCAAAATTTATTAAACCGAAAAAAAACGAAAGTGAAGTTTTAACAAATCGAGCTTGTTAAATTACAACCAATGTGAAAAGCAAATATTTATTCGGCCGGATTTTGAAAATGCTAAAAACAACGGCAGTTAAAATTGTTTACAGCTAAAATGAACGATGTTTAGATACGGCAACTAAGCCGACAAAACGTAAGCAGACAAATATTAGGCCGAATTTTTTTGAACCGGAATATTTACCATTTTTTGAAGAAAAAAAAACAGGTCCTAGTCAGCTTCGAACACTAGACATTTATAGTCCCAGGCGTATTCGTTACCTCCAGGCTAGTTAGCAGGAGACAATCAGAAATTTGAATTCATTATGAACCAAGGTACCATGCCGTCAAAAGTCCAAATGAGTCCTGTGGACAAAGTACTCGATTGCAATACCCTTGCCTATCGCAACGGTAAAGAACATTCTAAGTCGACACAATAAGAGAGAAAATAATCAGAGGTTTTTCACTTTGTAAAGTAGGGATCCGAGCCTAAAACGAGTCATTGACGCCTGTAGTACCAAGCCTGTATTTGACCTCCACCTCAAAATCACCTGTATAAAATTGTACAATCTTGTTTCGCTCACACCTAAGGGTTGGGAATGAAGTATGGCTTTTAAGTAGATCTCTGTCACTTAATTTTAAGAACCACAGGGAAAACTCGCATCATATAACGCCAGTTTGCTATTAATCACGAATCCGAACAAATACTTCAAACAATAAGTTCTCGGATTTTTGTTTCTCAGACTTATTTTTCGCATGGGATACAAATAAGGAGCCGATTCTTAATGCTGAAGGGCACTGGGTCTTAGTTTAAGGGGTAATTATGCTTCATCAATGTAAACTTTCTCATCTCGCCGAACCAAACTGAACTTCGCCGATTCAAAACTTTTCACGCCGTTCTTTGAGCTCCAGTAGTTTTTCACTATGGTTTTTCATGCAGAATGATTTTCACGGGACCAAAATGCTCGCTCAATAATTTAACGCATACAAAAATCGATATAAACTTAAAAAATCGTAACGATCTGCTGATTAAATTATACTGATTCAGTCTCATGCTATTTTAAAAGCATCGTCATGTCATTACTTTACCACGCGATCAATTACTTTACCACTTGCGATACAAAACAAAAAAAAACAAAGAAAATCGAAAAGGTCGAAAAAATTAGACTATGAAAATGAATAAGGCTACTTGTGAGACAAAAACATGACAAGACAATAGAATGTGTAAAAAGCATCGGAAGATAATACACCCAGCGGTAACAAAGTCGAAAATACCTTGTCTGAAACCCTTGAAGCCGAAAAATCAACAAGACTTCAAACATCTGAAAAGTTAATACGTCCACCTCAACCTCAAAACAATTCAATTGCTCGTCAAAGAAACAATATGAGGACACTTAGCCGATATAGAATAGGCCGAAACCTATTAAGCCCAAAAAAGGAAAATAAAAAAGCCGAAAAAAAACTTTAAAAAAACATTAAGACCAAAAAGATGTTACTTCCTCCTCAGCCTCAAAACACAGACAAGAACACACAAAACTTTTTTTTGCTCGTCGAAAGATGCAATATGAGTTCAATAAGCCTATACAAATTAGTCCGCAACCTATCAAGCCAAAAAAAAAGGAAAAACCAAAAAAAAAGGAAAAATCAAAAAAGCCGGAAAAAATTGTGTTATCATGGAAAACTTAACTATGACTCTAAGACTCTATTAGCGTTTAGTGCTATCCGCATTTAAAATATATGTATGAGTTAAAACGACTCGGAATCAGATCACTAAGCCAATAACAAAAAAGCCGAAATCATTTGGACAGAAAAACAAATTTTAAACGAAAAATATATATTTATATACTAAATTTTTTTAAATTTTACGAAAATTTGACTTAAATTTTACTAAAAATTAAGTGAATTTTAGTAAAATTACAAACAGCAGAGCACTAAACGCAACTATAATGTAGGAAACTTTTTATAAAAATCTACAATATGGCAAATAAGCTGACAAAACATAAGCAGAAAATATTAGGCCGCCAATTTTTTTTGAAACGGACTATCGTCCGTCTATGCAGGAGACAATAAGAAAATTGTATTCGTTACCTCCAAGCTAAGTGTACAGGAGCAATAAAAAATTTAAATTCATTATGAACCAAGTTACCATGAGTCCATTGTACAAAGTTTTTAACGTGAAAAAAGTCTGGTACCTGATTGCAAAACCCTTGCTTATCGCAAGGGTAAAGAAAATTCTAAGTCGACACAATAAGAGAAAAAATAATCAGAAAAGTAAAACTAAGCCGACAAAAATTAACAGACGGGCGATAGTCCGAAAAAGCACAAAACTCTAGTTTGCAAAAAAAGGGCCCAGTCGGATTCGAACCACTAATCTTTACCGTCTCTAAGTCGATATTAATTAGGCCAAAATTTATTAAACCGAAAAAAAACGAAAGTGAAGTTTTAACAAATCGAGCTTGTTAAATTACAACCAATGTGAAAAGCAAATATTTATTCGGCCGGATTTTGAAAATGCTAAAAACAACGGCAGTTAAAATTGTTTACAGCTAAAATGAACGATGTTTAGATACGGCAACTAAGCCGACAAAACGTAAGCAGACAAATATTAGGCCGAATTTTTTTGAACCGGAATATTTACCATTTTTTGAAGAAAAAAAAACAGGTCCTAGTCAGCTTCGAACACTAGACATTTATAGTCCCAGGCGTATTCGTTACCTCCAGGCTAGTTAGCAGGAGACAATCAGAAATTTGAATTCATTATGAACCAAGGTACCATGCCGTCAAAAGTCCAAATGAGTCCTGTGGACAAAGTACTCGATTGCAATACCCTTGCCTATCGCAACGGTAAAGAACATTCTAAGTCGACACAATAAGAGAGAAAATAATCAGAGGTTTTTCACTTTGTAAAGTAGGGATCCGAGCCTAAAACGAGTCATTGACGCCTGTAGTACCAAGCCTGTATTTGACCTCCACCTCAAAATCACCTGTATAAAATTGTACAATCTTGTTTCGCTCACACCTAAGGGTTGGGAATGAAGTATGGCTTTTAAGTAGATCTCTGTCACTTAATTTTAAGAACCACAGGGAAAACTCGCATCATATAACGCCAGTTTGCTATTAATCACGAATCCGAACAAATACTTCAAACAATAAGTTCTCGGATTTTTGTTTCTCAGACTTATTTTTCGCATGGGATACAAATAAGGAGCCGATTCTTAATGCTGAAGGGCACTGGGTCTTAGTTTAAGGGGTAATTATGCTTCATCAATGTAAACTTTCTCATCTCGCCGAACCAAACTGAACTTCGCCGATTCAAAACTTTTCACGCCGTTCTTTGAGCTCCAGTAGTTTTTCACTATGGTTTTTCATGCAGAATGATTTTCACGGGACCAAAATGCTCGCTCAATAATTTAACGCATACAAAAATCGATATAAACTTAAAAAATCGTAACGATCTGCTGATTAAATTATACTGATTCAGTCTCATGCTATTTTAAAAGCATCGTCATGTCATTACTTTACCACGCGATCAATGAATTTAATCTAACGAGGTCACAAATACGTTAAATACAGCTTTAAAGTTTAAATTTTGCATTTTTCGCATTTTATACGCCTTCGTCTTTCTTTATTGTTCAATACCAAGAAATTGGAAAAAAAACATCTGAAAATGAGAAGATTAACCTTTTTCCTTGGGGACAAGCCTGGTAAGTAGTCTTAACATCAGATAAAAATTGTTGTGTTTTTTCTCAAACTAATTATTGAGTCGTGACTCGTGATGCAGCTTGAGCTCCAATTTTTACGCCAGCAGACAGTTCCCTCTCAATATCAAGAGACGGAACTTAGAACTGTCGTTAAAAAAACTGTCATATCTTTTCTGACTATCTTTTATGAACATCAGTTCAATATTTTTGAGCCAAATTAATTTTCAATTGACAGCTTATGGTAAGAGTTCAGCAACAATAGTAAACAGCCTTCCGACATTCAAACTTAGTTTTATATGTGTAAGAAAAAACTTGAGAGAATGATCATGAGGATATTGACGGATTCCTACACAAAACTGCATACTTTTTTGCGTATTTCAAGAATCTTGTCTTTGATTTCATCCCTCTCGACTCGAGGCAGCATGTGGTTTTCGAGATTCGGAGTGAACAAAAATCAGTTTCATTGTAATAAAGTGACGTGAAAATCGATTAAAAACTAAACTTTGAGATCGTTTTTATTTCTCCTTTCTAGCAAAAAAAAACTTATCGACAGACTACATTTAGTTCTGTAACGCATCAAATTTCTATAATCAGGTAAGAAAATCAGACTTTAACTCTTTAATCATAAAAAAAAACATAAAAAACGATCTTTGAAATCTTTGAATTTGACTTTTAGTCCTCATATCTTAACGCCAATTTGGACTACGGGAAGGAATATTTGGACGTTCATAAGTTCTTTATGTAACGAGTTTCAGTAGCTGAATTCTTGGGCAAAAGATACTTAGTATAAACAGTTTCTAGGTAGTACCGTCTCTGATTTATATACAAAACTTGATTCACTTGACAATTCAACAAATTGAACTTTTCGAGAATCTAAAAGTAGAATAATTGATAAAATAATGGCTTCAAATTACGGAAATAGCAGAACTTCATCAAAATTCAATTACGGCGGTTTGCGTACTCCAATTTTGGGCTCAAGTAATAGACTGTACCAACAACAAGGGTCGCAGCGGAGGGCTTCAAAACACCAGTTGGCTATTGAACCTCCAGTTTCGTATAGATTCTTCCATAGGGAAACACGTGATTCTATTTTTTCAGATATTCCCAAACCTGCTAATTTGGTTACCAGCGAACCGCAGCTTTTGAATCAGAATCGAAGAGATAGTGCAGCAACCGAAAAGAAGCCAATCAGGATGCGAAAGCTAGGAAAACAAGGTGAAATTGTTTTGTCAAACTTTCCTCCGTTTTTAAACTGCAGGTATAATGATAGATACTGATAACTTGTAGTAAACGAAGCAGTTTCGTCTCCTTTTTCCAATTGCAAACTCAAATACCAACATAAAAATAGAAAGAAAGAGTTTATTTCTCCAAAGTTGTGGTTATAACCTTAGAAACAATACAGAACATTATCAAAGGAGTCGACAGACAAAAGACACATTGAGTACACACTGAGAGTATACCCGGTTTAAGTAACAAAATCAATCAATATCAATATAATAAACAAAAGAAAAAACCATTTTAACTTTTTGAAGTCACTATTTTTAAAAACAGTTATGTACTAAAAACTCCAAGTACAAGTATCGTGTAGAGCAAATAGCATCTAATTGAATATTATGCTGCACAGAAAACACAAAGCAAGGAGGAACAGTGAACGTCTCTTTTGAACCCGACGCTACAATACACGACACAGATGATAAGCCAGCTCAGAACGGCCACGTGATCAAAGACGAGAGAAAACAAGCATACTCTTCAACCAAAATCTCAACTCGGAATGTCGACTACCCTCCACTGTACAGTCTATCCGAGAGCGCTTTTTCTTCAGTGGACAGTGGCGATAACGCAAGCAGTGATAGTGAAAATAACCAAGAGCATAACCAGACTACAATCGAGTCAGTTGATACTGTTGATAGTAGCATCCCGACCATTAAAGTGAATGGAATTTCTGCAATTGCGAACGGGAGACAACCACACGGACGTCTGCGGATGTTGATTGACACACAGACTCACAATGAGAAAGACGAGGATCCGGAACAACCCAATGGACAAGGCGCACCTGTAGGAAATTACTTGTCGGCGAAGAGCTTCGTAAGTAGTTCAATTTAACACAGAGGCGAAGCGGAGCTTTCCAACTCTTGCGATACAACAAAAAACATTGCATTACAAGAAAGTGAATCGCAAAAGAGACGGAAGGCGAAACTTAATTTGAAAAACTAGGATGAAAAAACTACTTGAAAAAGTCGAAAAAATTACACCTACAAAAATTTCATGTTTTGGATAATCTACATAAACAGTCTTAAGAAGCATTGAAAATCATTTACCGAGCGTTTGAAAAAACGGAAATGGAACCAACGGAAATAAGGACGAAAACCACGAATTCGAAGAAAAAATAGAAATAGCTCGAAAAAATACTCACTGCCTAAAATCAATTCCCCATAAATGACAGTAGTTTTACTTAAGTTTCCAAGAAATGGAGCATGTCAGCAGCCTTCACATGAAATTAACTGCACGTTTCTTGCAGATTTGTACGAAAAGTTTTTCACAGAAAAAAGGTATAGTTCCCGATTAAAATGCATTTGCTCTCACAAGTGAAAAAAATCAAACGACCCAAGAAAGAGCAAATTTTTTTAAGGTTTAGCATTGTTTTCTGATTTAAAATTATGGCACCCTATTGGTTTTTTTTAGCTCAAACGAATGACCAGTATCTCACAAGACTACAATCGAAGATCATCCCTTAATCTTTGGGCTCTCTCCGGGATGGACTCGACGCTCGTTTACTCTCACGTGCGCACGCTTAAAACCAAAGACTTCTGCAAAGAAATCAGAGGAAAAATGGACGTAGAGGACTTCTTAGTCAATGGTGAGACAATGATCGACCATCCAGGGACCAATACTGCAGAAATACTTCACAGTGTGCTGGACCGACTTCGGTTGAAGGAGCCAACAATTAATATCACGGATATAATGGACGAAATTATGAATGAACCTCTGGATATCCTGGCTGCGACCATGCAAGGAACCCGGATTCCTCCCGGGGGTTCCAGCGTCATTGTTGACCAGTCGTGGATAGTGATCATGAAAGCACTGGAAGACATTACAAGACGACATATCACCATAATCAAGATGAAGAACCTCGTTAACCTCGGAAACGACAGTCAGGAAGTCCGATTTGTGATCCTCATTTTCACTCCGAGTAAGGAGAAAGGAACCAAGAGTTACATGGAGGTCGCCAAGTCATTCGCAACGTTATTTACCAGCGAAGCCTTCCGACAGTCACTTCTCTCTTGCATGGATGAGTCAAGTTTCAAGAAAACCATCGCCGAGAGAACCGAACGCTTGGTCGTACCTCCGAGAACCCGCGCGAATAACCGCAGGCTGTCAGTCATGCAAGAGGCTATCACTGCGAACGAATACGAGCACGAAAAGGAAGAGAAAAACTGGTTCTTCCTCTTTCGTGGGATCCGAGAGGACATTGTGAGGAAACTTCCGTTCTACATCAGCGACTTTACGGACGGCATTAATGGCCGCAAGACCAAACCGAAAGTGTTCTCAGCTGTATTCTTCCTGTATTTTGCTTGTATTTTACCAACCATTGCTATTGGGGTCGTTGATGATGAGTCTACGAACGAAATTATAGGAGTAAGAAAATGTGTTCTGGCTCAAGCAATAGCCGGATTGACATTTGGTTTCTTAGGAGGTCAACCATTGGTTGTTCTTCTATCAACTGCTCCAATTGCAATCTACACCAAAATCATGTACAAGTTTTCCGAAGAATATGGCATGGATTTCCTCGCATTCTACTCGGCAGTCGGAATTGCCACATGGTTCTTCATGACTTTGTACGCCGTAACGAATCTTCCGATAATCATGAAGTACTGCTATAGATCAGTGGAAGAAACCTTTGCTTTGTTCGTGGCCTTGGCTTATGTTGTCGACGCTATGAAGTCGGCGTATAAAACATTTGACAAATTCTTTTGCGATGACAGTAATAATTACTACAGTAATGGTACGATTGTTACAAAATGGGAGGAGCAAGGCTACCCTCGTAAGTATTCTTCTCAGAACATTGTTAAGATTGCCTCATAAATCTTAATTTTGTCTTTATTTGCTTTTTATTTAACCTATGAAACCTAGTTTGAAGAAATTCCCACGAATCGTCAACTTTGACTTGAGCTGACCACATTTTTCAAAAACTCTTATGCTTGATAACTTATGCTACCAATAGGTCATAAAAGGTCAATGGATCTATCTATGCATGCAAAAATGGGCGGGCAAAATACTTAGTTTTCGTTTTAGCATGTTCGAAAGCAGCCTGCATGCTTCTCGTGATTCTAATGCTTGCTACCTTCTGGCTCGCTCTCAGTCTATTCAACTTCAATCGGTCGCCGTACTTAGACGCCGCCAAACGAGAAATCCTCTCGGGCTACGCGCTACCTTTCGCCGTCATTGCGGTGACACTCCTCAAGGAAAATGTTCTCGACGACATCAACACTCAGAAGTTCAAGTTCAAAACCGGAGATCAGGTTGTCGACTTCAAAATCTCCCCTCTTTTTGAACTACAGTGGTGGGGATGGTTCATTGCTTTTGCAATTGGATTTTTCCTTTCTGTTCTTCTCTTTATTGAGCAGAACGTTGCAGAGTCTTTAGTGTGTAGCGACGCCAATAAAATCAAAAAAGGAACTTCCTTCTACTGGGATTTATTCCTACTCGCGCAGATAAATCTCTTTCTATCTCTATTTGGCTTTCCAGTGGTGCATGGCGCCTTACCACATTCACCAATGCACGTACAGGCCCTTGCGGACACTGAGCAAAGAAATAACCAAGGAGTAATGCAAGACGTCATCGTACATGTACGGGAGACCAGGGTAGCCACCATACTAGCCCACCTATTAATCCTCATTTCCTTTTTCTATTTACTCCCTCAACCCATGGACGCTATCAAGGTACCTGTTCTCAACGGGGTCTTCCTATTTATAGCCGCCATATCCCTGCGGGGCAACGAACTATTCGAACGTCTCCTGCTTCTGTTCACTGAGCAGACAGCTTACCCGCCCCATCATTATGTAAGACACGTTCCTCAACGAAAGATTCATCTCTTCACCTTCATTCAAATCGTGCAGTTAGGTATTTTGTGCGCACTCGGCTTCTCGTCCATTGTTTACCTCAAAATGATTTTCCCACTGGTAGTGGTTTTGTTCATGCCCATAAGACAGAAAATTTTCCCGCGATTCATGGACCAACAGTACCTGGATGCCCTTGACGGACATTAAATTCAGCAATTGACTTGACAAAAAAGTGACTGAAATTGAACTTAATTCATAACTTATTATATTTTCGCACTAATCTATCTTATCGATCATTTTTAGAGTTAAATACATCATCGGAGCATCTTGAAGTTTTTATTTTCAGATTTCGTACGAATTAACTTGGATAAGAAATGATTAGGTTGACCATAAAGCATCCATATCCATAGTAGCCATTGGATTAATGAAGTATCGAACGAAAAGCACGAAAACTCTTTACGTAAAACTCTTTAACCTAATTTGACAAAAACGCATTAGTATAAACTTCGAGACTTCATCGTAGATGCCGCGTCTTTAACTGGAACAAGTTAAGTTTACGAAAAACTGCAAACACATGTTCCGACCAAATTCATAAAAACTATTTTTCTTTTATATTCAAATTATGTCTTTCTTTGTGCGTGGTGTGACTAGAGGAACACAATAAAGCTTAAAACATGAAAAAAAAACTAAATATAATCAATTTTACTTTTTCATTTTTATTTAGAAAATGTTGCCAACGTTTTAGCGATACAATGAAAACAAAAGTAAGACAAACTAATCGACATAAATAGAGATAAGGGCCGTAAAAAGAATATCAAAAAAATTTTCATGACTTTGCCTAGATTTTATCTTGAACAATAATCCTTTCAAAAAATAGGCTGAGTAAGGACAATTGAAGTTAAAATAGAATCGGTTCTTCAGCAGACACACATCGAGACGGAAATAAAAACGTTTGTGAACCCCTCAAACATTTCGAAGAAAAACTTCCTTGTACATTGAACCCTCAAAACGAAGCCGCCCATATATTATAAGCCGAATGCAAAAAAAAATTTAAAAAAATCGGAGTTGGTAAATTTGAAACCAAAAACGAATTGCGATTAGAATGGGCATGTAAAATGCAGACATATTCAAAATTTGACTGTTACTTGACGAAAGTACAGAAGAAGATGAGGACCAATTTCAGTAATCAAGTGAACAAAGTTAATTACGGGAAAGATGTCCAGTACCCGGCAGCGACACCCTTGCTTATCGTGAACTCCGGTCTGTGTGAACAACCGGTCTGTATAATTGCTATTCAGAGTCACTTTGACCAAACAAAAGCTTCATTTTTTCATCCTTTGAAGTCTTTGGTTCTCAGCCGCAGCCGTATCAAAACTAAAACAAACAGTAACTAAGAAATTGAATAAACCATTCTGACTTCCATGAAACGTTTCGAAACACAGGATGAAAATTGTGTCAAAAAATCTAAAAATTAGAACATTTTCCCTTCATTTTTGTTTGCTGCAAATGACTCACGTGACAAGAAGCACACGGGGCATTGTGATTTGTGCCACTAATAAGAAGTAGATCACAAAAATTACTTTTCTTAATCACACATATTGCAGGTAAACTACAACATTACGTAATATTAATTGATAGACAGTTAAAAAGCGAAATGGATTTAACTTTTTCTAAATCAAAAAAACGTCATATCTCGGAGCCCAAAACAATAGGAGGAGTACCCTGTCATCTCCCAGCTGGAGAACCCTGACATAAGTGGTCACACATTTTTTTGAAAGTTTTGAAAAATCATAAAAACACCACTTCTCGGAAATTAAAGGCGTCAAGCAGTCATTCTTGTCGGCCAGATAAATTACCTCTTGATATTACCTTGAAAACACCCCACCATGGGTGCAAGAATATCTCTGGCACCCCACCATGGAAGCCAGAGATAAGCAATAAAAAATTTTGAGCAGTCATATTTGGAGAAAAGATTTGCAACTCCTAGGAGTAGCCTGAGAACATTCAAACCTGAAAATATCCTGAAAAAATGTAAAATGTTCTATAAGTCATGAGAAACTAATGATCTCGGAAACATGAAGGTTTTGATCAGTCACATTTAGAGACAAAAGTTGCCATTCCTGAGAGTAACCTACAAGCTAGGGGCTGAAAGATTCAAATTTGTGAACTTTTTTTAAAGCTAAGTTTTTTTTTTATAACCTGAAAAAATCATAAAAACTCCAACGAGTCCTTGACAGCACTCCACTCTAGGCTCCACTGGGAACTTAAATTTCGTGAAGTTTTTCAGTTCTAAGTTTTTGGAAAGTTATCATAAAAAACGCAATATCTCAAAACTAAAAGGATTTCAGTAAGGACAATCAGAGGCAAAAATTACAAAGACTGACATGAGAGTACACCACTTCAACCTTAAGAATTTCAATTTTTGCGAGGTTTTTGAAATCAAATTTTTAAAAAGTTTTTGAAAAAATCACAAAATCGTCACATCTCGTCGAAAAAAAGTTGATATATGGAAGCAAGATTGGTGATCTCTGAAAGTATTGTGACATTGACCCGAAAAAAGGGTTAGCAATTTAAAAAATCGTCGTATCTCATGAAGTAAAGTGATTTGGGTATTCATATTTGGAAGCCAATTTCGCAACCCTTGGAAGAACCCTGAAAGCACCCTACCATAAATGTCTAATCTCAAATTTGGTGAAATAATCACGGAAACGAAAACGCCAGTTGGATAATGTATAAATAGATGAATCCCTCCTTCACACTACTCTAAGCTGCGCTGCGCAACCCTGCCCTCCCATGCTGGCATCATAGCTACAGCCTCACATTTCGGCTTTCAATTAGCCTAGCATTCATAAACTGGCAAATCGAAATGTTTCTAAAGCATTGCAATAGACAATAAAGCTTAAACTGTAAAATTTTGTTCGTTACTGAATGCTTAAACCTGAGACATATGGTATAGCTTAAGCATGGGGAGATAGGCAGACGCATTAAAATATATAACATAGATTATTTAAATCGTACTAAATCACATCATAACAGGACTTCAATTGAAAAAGAAGTTGAGCGGAGCAGGGGCGGTTCTATCACTTTCGAAAATCTTTTTTAGGTCGACCAAATTGGTTTTCAGAGCTTTCCATAATCACTATAAAGGCCCTGTTTTTTGAATAAAACTTTGCGCCGCAGGCAAGTTTTTCAAAAATCAGTCCAAAGGGCAATTAAGACTATTTTAGGGTCGGTCAGCCAAACATGGATGTCTGAAAATAGTACAAAGGGGGACCCTTTGGGTCGGCAGGGGGTTGAATCCCTGCGGGGATGGGGCATCCGCCCCTTCCCTAAATTTTCTACTGAAACGAAGTCTCAAATGAACAAATCCAAAGAACGATGGTTCTGATTACCCTGAAGGGCATTATGTATTATATGATTAAAGCTTTTTGATACATGCAATTTCAATTAATACCACTAGCGGAGCGTAAAAACAAGATTCCGGCTCGATTAGTTTATACCAGATTGCTCTCTTTACTTACCCATTAAACTTTTCAAATAAACTTCAAAAGAGTCAATTACCACCACAAACTCCGAATTCAAAATTAAAATCAAACTAATTTTTGTAGAAATCAGACCTCATCGAACCGTTGCTAGATTTTCGACTAAGCGCAGTTTTAAATTCAGATATGTCTGATTTGGGAGAGAATACAGATCCTCCGTCTAATGACAGGGCTAAAGTAGCTATTGCCTTCTCTATTGTCGCTATTTCGTTCGTGGGAGCTGTATTTATAATATGGATCATTAACTCGCGCAATAAACTCATTTTGATGAAGAAGCTAAAACGGCAAGCAATTTTCATACTTCATTATTGTAAATATTTCACATACTTCAAAAGACCGTTGATTGATTTTATTTCAGGATTTGTTGCTTATGGAGAAATATTCTGAGAAGTGAGAATGATACAGTTCAAGATGAAAGTCATACCACTGCTTCTGATGCGATAAGCGTCATCAGCAAGCTCAGCTACTCTGTTCCTATGAACTCAAAAAATAACGAAGGAGTTGAGAAAACATTCCAAGTAGACGATGTAAAACCATCATTTACCTTGGACACCGTCAACGAAGTCGAAGAGGAACCAGTGGCCAAACAAACAGGCAGTTCAGATAAATTAGAAGTAATCGTTAACTGTTTTTCTGCAATGACAAAACAAAACCAAGTATTTTCTGGCCACAGACGCTATAGCAAAATTCATTCAATTTCTGTGACGTTATTTTCCTTAAACTGCAACATTACAGACGCAGATTATGACACTCTAAATTTATATTTATTTTTTATATTTATTTTTATTTATATTTATAATTTGAGTCTTGTTTCAGACCTATTTTTCTCGTCACTGGAATAACCAATTTTTTTGGAGTGCCGTCAAAAAGTAGACATGTCATAAAGTAAACAAGTCGTAAGCCAAACACAATCAAAATAAGAAAATGAGCAAACGAAGAATTTTCTTTCTCTTCTGATTGGCTTACGACGTGTCTACTTTATGTAAGGTCTATTTTTTGGAGTGGACAAACAGAAAAAAAATGGAGCAAGAAATGATGGTGGAAAAAATCATCAAATAAAATTGAATGTGCTTTTGAACCAGACAAAATTCCATAAATTTGACTTGTTTTAGTCTAGCTGCAGCTCGTCACCATTTAGGTCAACAAGTGTCAACCAGAAGAAACTTCTGCAAATCGTGACAATCGCGGTGAATCAAATTCAGGTCAATTTTTAAGAATTCTATCTAAAAATTAAGTTCGCTTGACATCTTCGAAAATTTTCTAGTTCGCATTTTGAAAACCAGGCTAATGGAATAAATTTCCTTGAAGAAAAAAGACTCGCATTCAGATTAGATGAAAGGAGAGTCTAGATGAATTTTGCCCTAAAAATATTAATTGTGCCGAAAACATTCCTAAATTTAATGTGACAACGTTAGCGAAAAAATAAATAGCTGAAAAAGCTATTTGATAGTCAAAAACAATGCTTAAGGCGGATTTGTAACTATTTCTTCTGCTATGGAACCTAGAAAAGGATATTTACCCCAATAAAAAACTAACTCAATCGTAGAGCTTAAGCAGAAGAAAATTTTGTACCAAGGAACAAATTTCCTTTGTTTTGCACAAATGGGGTAGGGTATTTTCGGAAATCATGCTGTGAAATCAGGGTGTTGTTGATGGTGTGCCCGAGGTTACAGGAAGAACTAAAAAATTATAATTAATAAACTAAAAAACCAAAAACTGCCTTCATTGAGTAACAAATATTTTACAGACTCGACAGCAGTGATGCTACTTGAGAGCAAAGAAGAAAACAAAATGGCAAGAACTAAAATTATACCGCCGTGACTCATTATTATTAACATTTTAATCTCAACAATAATGAAGTTTGTTCAATAAACATTCTTAAAACTTTTTTTATAACGAAGGTAATCAGAAGGTCAAAAATATCATAGTAACCGAGGTTACAGTCAGGAGTCCCTTCATCACGTATTCCAGTCAAAAGCCTTGGAATTTTCTAGATGTGGAAGTGATAATGATAAAAGAAGATGACAAGTGTTTAAGTCCTTTTCAATTAATTGCGGGAAAGTTACGGGGGTTTAATGATTGGCATTTTGGCCAATTTGGGACATTCTTAAAACATGAACCTGAATGTTTTGACCCAAAAAAACTATCTTCAATAACTGTCGGAAAAGTTTTGAGGCTCGAATACCTTCGACTTTCGATTCAATTGAGAAGAGCTTAAATTACACAATTTTAAAAATTAAATTTGTTATTGAATGCAGCTAGCTAGTATAAGCTACACAGAGGCCCCGCACAAAAATTATCATAAGCCAAGTGAGAGCCCTCCTGACCTTTTCACAATACTATACTCAAAATCAAAACGGCACAAGGACATATGTAACACAAGGATAGCTGAATGGCGTGCAAGTATCACTGAATGTTCTGATGATCACTTTTATATAAAAGTAAGGAAAAATCTTTTGAAACGTAAAATAGTTGAATTTTTAAAATTTTGAAGTAATGATGTGTGTGACACTTGTTATGATCTTTGATCATTTTGTACAGATAGTTTAGAATTTTTAAAATCTGAAGCTGCACAAAATGTGCGAAAACGTTATCTTTTTCATATGTTATAAATAGAAAACAGTAACATGGAATTTATCAAACAAAAAAATCTTTATGCTTATTGTTCCGACTTTCGATACGAAAGTAACGTAATATTTGTGCTCGGAATAGGTTTTGTTTCTTCAGACAAATTTCGATTTTTTTTCTAACCATTTTTGACGCATTTTTTAAACATCATTCGAAAGGTATTACTGTCCTGAGCTCAAATATTGAAAAGAAATTTCACCTGAGATCATTTTACGTAAAGTTGCGGGGGTTTAATGATTGGCAATTTGGCCAATTTGGGACAATTAACACGCGATTGATCTCGCGCTATTAACGCGTAAGCGGAGAGTTAATCCGTGTTGGAAATCGTTCCAAATTGGTTGAAAGAAGCTAGATCAATCCTTTTGTACTTTATATGGCGTGGGGAAATGATTTTCATAAAAATTTTCAAATTTCAGGAAATTGTTTTTTCTTTTTGTTTTATTTCATTTAATTTTTCCATGTTATTACTGCTCCATAGACCTTAGTGCCCGTCGAAACATTCAGGGCCTCGCCCTTATACAAGCATTCTTGTTTGTGTTTCAATTTAATGAAATTTTTTCTTGAAGAATGGACAAAAATGCAATTTCAAATTGGTAGCCGCTGACCTGGAGAGTTGTTAGTTTTAGAAGATTAGCAACATTATTTGAACGATTAGACGAATCGTGAAGGTCAGAAGATTCTGGAATTTCAAAATTTTCAAAGTTCGAATGGCGACGTCATACTTCTGAGAAACCTCGAAAACGCCATTTTAGAAGAAAATCAGAGAAAACACTACAACAACGATAGTTGTGATAGACACAGCGACGAGAAATAGAAAATTACAACTGGAAATTGTCTGAGACCGCTCCGAAATGTAACGATTGTGTCGGTACAATCGTTACAGAGCCATTCACGCCAACGGTGAAGGGTTTTGGGACAGTGTGTCTAGCCTTCCGGAGACGAAATAAGGACGTTATTTTCCCGGATTCAAGAATCCGGAGGGGTCTTGAGACTGAACTCAAACTGTTTTATACGAATTTTTTGCTTCCTGGTCATGCCCGGAATTGAATTAATTAACATCTAGATTCATTTTCTGATTATGAGGAGCTAGGAGTTGAGGGAAAGGGTTGATCCATCTTCGATGGAGATGATGATTTTTATCTACTGAACAAAAACTTACTATTAGTATTGTTTACGATTACATAATAAATAGTAGTAGCCTTATTTTAGGAGTGACCTCGTGGTCTGGGGATACTGAGACCCAGCCATGAGCTCACTATTTCTGCATATCATTAAGTTAATTTGAGTGTTTTGACCGAAGCCGAAAGCAGTAACGTTTTTGTCGACCCGATAATAGAAAAGACCACCGAAAGTACTGGCTTGGTAGAGACGGTGAAAAGCATATAAAGCTCTGTTTAGAAGTTAGCCAGTCGTCTTAGGACTTAGTTTTATTTTCCGTCGAAATGTATCTTCCGGGCGAATGTTACAGTCTTGAGACTGAACTCAAACAGTTTTATACAATTTTTTAGCTTCCTGTTCATGCCTTGAATTGAATTTAATTAACATCTAGATTCATTTTCTAATATGGAGAAGCTAGGAGTTGAGGGAAAGGGTTGATCCATCTTCGATGGAGATGATGATTTTTATCTACTGAACAAAAACAATCGTAATAAAATGAATAGTATTAGCCCTGTTTTTGAGAGTGACCTCGTGGTCTGGGGGTAATGAAACTCAGCCATGAGCTCACTATTTTTGCATGTAATTAGGTTACTTTGAGCGTTCTGGTCGAAGATGGAGAGCAGTAACGTTTTTGTCGACCCGATGTTAGGAAAACCACCAAAAGAACTGGCTTTGGTAGAGACGGTGAAAAGCACGTAGAGCTTTGTTTAGACGCGGGCCAGTCGTTTCACAACCTAGTTTTATTTTCCGTCGATATGTACTTCCGGGCGAATGTTACATAGATACATAGATGTTTTTATGGCGCTCCTGGATGTTGTTCTTTTTTAACATCATGACCGGCAGAACCGTTAACGAGCACTCCGCGCCAAGCGGATGCTCATAATAACGCCCATAATAAGGCCCTAACCGCCGGCCGGGGCGGAAGGATAGTTCGGATCGCGGAAGCCTTCCGGATTCCCGTGAATAGCTTTTTAACCTAGTTAACACCGAAAATTCACGTTCCAGGAAGGGTGGGGGGATTGGCCGTCCCCTAGTTCCCTGAGAAGTCTGTGACAAAAAACACTTAAAGATATACAAGAAACAAAACAAAAAGTAGTATAGTACCCAAGATACACAAAAAACATAAAAAATAACCGAAAAAAAAAACAATAAAAAAAGTATAAAATCAGTAGAAATCATCCCCCAGACGAGATGTGATCCGAACCTCCCGTTTGTTGTTGTTAGATAAATTGTTGGTACAGGCATTTATATCAGCCCGGTCATGCCAGCTTGATAATAAAAATTATTGTTCGAACAACGTCCACTAATGAATCGACAGGTTTTAAAACCCGTTTGCCGATGACCTTCCGGGTTACAGAGAAATTGAACTTAACGTGTTTGATTTAGTGAATTCATCAATCCGGAGGGGTCCAAATAGCATAGTTTTTGGCAAATTTTTTCAATTAGAGGGCTTTAGTTTGAATTTTTTGCCTTGAACTAGAAGAGCATAGGCCTTCTGAGCTCGGATCAATATATTTTAGGTCGAACAGAACAGAATTGCGAAAAAAGTTAGGCGGAACATATAAGAGAGAAAATTTTTGATTTTAGAAACAAGACGTTTTAGTTAGTAACTTTGGAACTACTGGACAGATCGACTAAACACATCAGGCCAGTCAGGAAACTTTGTGAGTATGACAAATTCAGAAATGCGAACTGGGGAGAATAGAAACACAGGGCCAAGCAACGCACCGGCGGATCCAGAGGTAGACATTGAAAAGTTTGCCGATAACCTTTGCCGATAATTCGAACACATGTGTTTGTGTTTGAGCCCAAGGAGGAGTCATGCGAGCCAAGCAAGAAACAATCCGAGCGACTCGGACAGAAGGGAAGTTTCAAGTACATAACCCTTATCAGGGGGCAATGATACTCAGGCGGGGCATTCAAGAGATGCTACATCAATAGCCACAGCCTTTGAACCTTTGAACAGGTCTTTGGAGACATTCCTTACGAATTTATCTAGAACCAATGAACGTAGTGAAAAGTCCAGAAGATTCTTTAAGATTCCAAGATGCTATAAAGACGAATCTGATGGCTGTATTGATACCTAGATAGAGGTGATGAAACTGCTATTTGAGGAAGAAGACTTGTCAGAAAGGCAAGAATGCAGTGCGCTCACCGGTAACTTGGAAGGGACAGCCCTAAACTGCGTGATGGCCAAAATGCAATACCAACGGGACACTGCTGAGAAAATCTTGTTAAATCGTTTTGGCTCAGGGGTGCAGGGACACCAAGCAATGATGCGCTTCGAGAAACGAAGGCAACGAGAAGATGAGACAATAGACAAGTTTCTAGACATTTTGGAGATGCTGAGAAGTCGTAGCCAACGAGATGAGTCAAACAGAAGGATGAACCTGGCAGTAACCTCAAAATTCATCGATGGTGTGAAGAATGATGAACTTCGAACAATGTTAGCAACACATTACACACCACTCTCAACCAATGCGCCAACACCAGAGGAGTTAAGACTCAAGTCAAAAGAATATCTTTTTTGAAACCTCCTTCGAGATCTGGATATTACAAGAACAATTATGGCAATTTTAACAGCGGACCAGCAAACCAAGGGAACAACTGATAGACAAGAGGCGCACTTGTGCAAATTGCAATTCGACGGACCATCATGTGTCATCATGCCCAACTTACAAACAGGGCATGAAAGCAATACGCTTCAGCCTCGAGGACGAAGATGCGTCAGAGATTGACCATGAGGTTTTCATGAGAGGAGTAATTGCGAAATTCGAACCGAGGTGTTTTTTTTTGCAAATTGGAAGGTCATTTTAAATCGGATTGTCCGCAATTCTGGGACGCTGTAGCAGACATTAAACATCCAAGGCATGAGGAAGCTTTATCTGTTGTGAAAGCCAGCAGGCTCGCCTATTGAGTGAAGCGGAGGCGCGCAGAAAAGAAAAACCGCAAGAGCTGGCAACGAAGAAGATGCAGGCGGTAACGGAAGAGACATGTGAACCAGAACGTGTGCCTGCGGCGAATGACTTCAAGATCGAGTATAGGGCAGCCGCGAGGGATGATC